AACCATATAATCAAAATAAAAACAACAACCCAAAAACATCCCTCCCAAAAAATTAAGGAACAAAACAAAACATCAAGGATTAATAATAATAATAATAATAATAATAATAATATCCTGCCCTCCCCAGCCAAAGCCGGGCTCAGAGTGGCTAACAACAATAAAAGTAACACAGCTGATAATAATAGGTAAAGACTCTTGTGTTGCTCCACAGCATGTATATTTGCAATACTAACAAGCTGCCCCCCCAATTAAAAATTATGTCCTTACCCTTTTCATTTATGCACAAGCAATTAACGGTACAAAAACGACTTCTTTCCCCTCAACTACTTGGAACCTTAACACTCTTTAGATCAGTGATGGCCAAACTCCCATCATTCCTAGCTAATAGGACCAGTGGTCAGGGATGGTGGGAATTGTAGTCCCAGAAAAGCTGCTGGGCCAAGTTTGGCCATCACTGCTTTAGATATACTCTCCCCCCCCCTTGCGGGGGTGCACCAAAGGTTTTTAATGGTGTGCATGAAAATGCACAGTGTTAGCACATGGGATCAAACGTGTGCAAGCAAAGAGGTGTGTTGTCCACACAGGTTCCTCAGGGCACAGCTAGATGGGCCAGTGATCCGATTTGGGATCAGGCAGTTTCGTATGCTCCTGTGTAGTTATTGCACATCCAGAGTTCTGGGTGAAAGAGAAAGGTCTAGCAAGTCTGAGGTTGTCCTCAGTTCTTGACTGTAGCATCAAGCAATGACTTGCATACTATCTCAATTTCCATTGATATTGCATGCCCAGACAATGATCTGAGGTTCTGTTACATTGTGAAAGCTGAGCGGGTTTTAGCCAAACACACTTGTACCTTTCCCGACCCAAATGCCCCCCAAATTCAGAATTCACCAGGGTTCAAATCTGAAAATTGCCTGAGTTGAACATTTGGCTTCAGAGCGTAATTTTACGGTGATTAATAACAACGACCCTTAAACAATTAAATAGCGTTGATCATTTTGAAGTGACTTGGTGAGCCAAACCATTCCCCTAAATTCAACATCATCCATAATATGGCTGAATAGTAAAATCCGGGTGAATAGAAATTCTAACCTGCTGCGCACAAGTTCAGGTTCGAGGCGAAGGATAGAACTGTAGAGCTAGGAGGGGACTGAAAGGCCAACCCCAAGTCAAAGCTCCAAATGGCCTCCAGCTCTAGTATCAGCTTAGAAGATTCACTAACCATACCTACAGAGTGGAATGTTTGGCACAGGAATCCCAGCTGGAATGAGGAGCCCAGGTGACTGCTGTCCGTCAAGACCAGCTACTCAACAGCCAACGACGTTCCAGCTGTTTTACATTCCCTGCGGTGTTCCCACCTTCCAGTTCATTGCTCCATGACACCCGTGACCTTCACCCAAGCAGGTAAAGTCCATGACCCCTCAAATGACCCCCACCTACCTAATAACCACAGCTTCAGTCAACCTACCTTCCAGGTTCCCTCTCCTTAGCCAACTGGGTAATGTTTGGCCTTCTGCGAATCAGCCACATCCTTCCTTTCTTCTCAGCTGTTTGCACAGCCTCTTGGCTCCAGGCAACGGCCAGCTGTTCTCCTTTAAATTGTCCATCCTCTTTGAACCGGGAGGACTGACAACCCCTAAGGCTGGTCCTACCCCTAGCAAGAATGAGCCGGTCACCTCAGGCCACAGATGTGGAAGGATGGGGAGCAGCGAATGTGTCATTTTGGAGAGCAGAGCTGTGTTTGACCCACCTGGCTTGCCCTGCATCCCTTAAGCCAGGCTGTTGTCCTCAGGTGTGGTGAAGGATGTTGCCCCATTGTCAGTGTTGAGATTCTGAATGTGCATCTTGCCCTTTGCGCCTGGCAGCTAAACCTGACTGCTTCTTAGAGGGGGAGAAACTCTGTATATTTGGGCGCTGCCTCCCCTGTTTGCTCACCCCCCAGGACCTGGTATTCAGAGGCATATAACCTGTAACATGGCTACTTCTTTTCTCACTGTTAACAAACCTCCCCCTCTTCACAGTTAAATTTGCCCAATCCTTTTAAAAAGCCATCTCTCAGCATAAGCCCATCATTACACCCAAGGGCAGGTTAGTTTTGTCTGTAAATTAAATAAGCGTTTTTTTTCTTAGGCTAGCACAGCTGGGAAACCTGAATTCTACTTTGACACACAACAAAGTTTCACATAAACCTCATGCGTTCAACAAAATGACAGGATTCACATTTCAAAGGGCAAAACACGCTTCCAGTTTCACATTTGAAATTTAGCCTCAGCGAGGACCTCACAAAAGCCCTAATCTCTAGTTATTGCTGATTCGTTCTAAGACAACAAAATTAGTACCGGTAATCGTTTTGCCTTTCCCCACTTCAATATTCCAGCCCTCCCACCATGCCCTGCCTGCTCCTGACAGCATACATTACTGGGAATGCTGAAACAACTTTTAACCCTGGGTAAAAATAAACTCAAATTTTCGCAGGGAAGCTCTGAGACGGGTTGAATGGGGGAAATGAGCTCTTTCTGCATGCGTGGTGTGATGAGATTCTGGACGATGCACTCTTTGGCTCAGCACTGGCCCTGCCAAATCCCTCTCCTTGTCTCTTGTGCTGTTCTTTTGTGTACTGGTTGCTTTGGGTATATTTTGCCCTCGAGTTTTCAAGGATCAATAAAGCATTTGGCGTGCCCAGCAACCGGGTTTGTTCTTTCTCCCCTTGTTCTCCTTCTCCGTGATGAATAATAATAAAAAAATGTGACCGTGACCTTGGATGATCTGTTCTTTACCCACTCGAAATGAACGAAGTGTTCCTGTGTGGTGATGGGGGTGCTTGTGGGTTGGTGGGAAGGAGTATTCTCGGTGCCAAGATTTGGAGGCGCCCAGCGGGCCCTTCTTAACCTGGAACAGCCAGGACATGCGCCGCCTCCACAGCTGGCAATGCTTCTGAACACCAGCTGCTGGAAACCACCTTCTGAACACCAGCTGCTGGAAAATGGTCAAAGGCCTGGAAACGATGCCTTATGAGGAACGGCTAAGGGAGCTGGGCATGTGTAGCCTGGAGAAGAGGAGGTTAAGGGGTGATATGATAGCCATGTTCAAATATAGAAAAGGATGTCACATAGAGGAGGGAGAAAGGTTGTTTTCTGCTGCTCCAGAGAAGCGGACACGGAGCAATGGATCCAAACTACAAGAAAGAAGATTCCACCTAAACATTAGGAAGAACTTCCTGACAGTAAGAGCTGTTCGACAGTGGAATTTGCTGCCAAGGAGTGTGGTGGAGTCTCCTTCTTTGGAGGTCTTTAAGCAGAGGCTTGACAACCATATGTCAGGAGTGCTCTGATGGTGTTTCCTGCTTGGCAGGGGGTTGGACTCGATGGCCCTTGTGGTCTCTTCCAACTCTATGATTCTATGATTCTATGAAACCACAGGAGGGGAGAGGGTGCTATTGGGCTCAGGCCTTGTTTGTGAGCACACGGGCTCCCACAGGCATCTGACTGGCCACTGTGAGAACAGGATGCTGGACGAGATAGACCACTGGCCTGAGACGACGACGACGACAACAACAACAACATACTTTTATTTACATCCGGCCCTCCGCAGCTGAAGCCGGGCTCAGAGCAGCTAACAACAATAAAAGTAACACAGCATTCTAAAATCAATTCATTCTAAAATCAATTCAGAATCAAATTAATGGCAACCATTGGGCTAGAGTTCTATGTGGATTACAGAAGGAGGGGGTCAGACTGTGCCTTGGCCAAAGGCCTGGTGGAACAGTCTTGCAGGCCCTGCGGAAAGATGTCAAGTCCTGCAGGGCCCTAGTCTCCTGTGGCAGAGCGTTCCACCAGATCGGGGCCATGGCCGAAAAAGCCCTGGCTCTGGTTGAGGCCAGCCTAACCTCCCTGTGGCCCAGGACCTCCAAGATGTTTTTGTTTGAAGACCGTAAGGTCCTCCGTGGGACATACCAGGAGAGGCGGTCCCGTAGGTACGAGGGTCCTAGGCCGTATAGGGCTTTAAAGGTTAAAACCAGTGCCTTAAACCTGATCCTGTACTCCACCGGGAGCCAGTGCAGCTGGTAGAGCACTGGGTGAATGTGATCTCGCAGCGAGGACCCCGTAAGGAGTCTCGCCGGGGCATTCTGCACCCGCTGGAGTTTCTGGGTCAACTTCAAGGGCAGCCCCACATAGAGTGAGTTACAATAATCAAGTCTAGAGGTGACTGTCGCGTGGATCACAGTGGCTAGGTCAGGGTGAGAGAGGTGATACTACTACTACTACTACTACTAATATAATAATAATAATAATAATAATAATAATAATAATAATAATAATTTATTTGTACCCCACCCATCTGGCTGGGTTTCCCCAGCCACTCTGGACGGCTTCCAACAAATATTAAAAATACATTAAAATGTCACACATTAAAAACTTCCCTAAACAAGCTCAGGTGTGCACAGTCCAGACAGCTGCCATGCATGCACAACTAAGAGCACATGCGCAAATGGCTGCTTCATTGAACTAAGAGTTCAGCACAGGGAAGCAAATCAGGTGATGCGCATGGGGCGAAGATATCCCCCCCACCCCGGTGGTCTGTACAGCTATGCAAAGCTACAAGTTTAAATGCAGTAGGTTGGGGAAATGACCTCACTGCACATCACCTACCGGTAAGAATTTTCGCTTTGCCCCTTGCCCTCTTAGGTGGTCAATGCAAAGTGTCTGTATGCTGTTTCCCCAGCAAGTTCCAGAGCTTGTTGGGCAGAAGGCAGGGAGACAAACAGTAGGTGGCGCTAGAGAGCCAATGGCAGGAAGAGCCAACTAATTTTGGTTTTGTCCCCATCTTCTTTCCTGCAGAGTTCAACAAGGTGTTACTTAAGGAGGAAGGTCACAGGAGGGGTTACGCCTTGGAGGCAGGACGGTCAGGGCTGAGGGGGTGCAGATCATAGAATCAGAGAATGGCAGAGTTGGAAGGAACCTCAAAGTTCATCTAGTCCAGCCCCCTGCAGTGCAGGAATCTTTTGCCCAATGTGGGGCTCGAACTCCTGAACATGAGATCAAGAGTCTTGTGCTCTACTGACTGAGCTATCCAGTGGGGCAGTGCCCCATTTACCCTGATAGCAAGCCTCTACTGCTTGCATGTCTGAAATGAACCAGGGTTGCATGCGCAGCACAGGAATTTCTTTTAAGTAAGCACCCCCCCTCCTGCAACCTTATGCATGGGATATGAAGCCCTATTTCATACCAGCTGTGGAGGAGCTGGCCGAACTGTTCCTGGAATGTAGATCACACCAGGCTGCAGGTGCTGGCAACGTGTGAGAGTTTTGCATAATTCAATCCTCCCTCGCATTCAACACACGCATCCCTTCCACACTGGATACCAAATGCCAGGCAAAGGCATTCTAGCGCAACCTTTTGCGATATGCCAGGATATGAGAAGCATTCAATGCTCCCTGCTGGAGAGCAGCTGCCTGTCAGTGTAGATGATAATAATAATAATAATAATAATAATAATAATAATAATAATAATTTATTATTTATACCCCGCCCATCTGGCTGAGTTCCCCAGCTACTCTGGGCGGCTCCCAATCAAGTGTTAAAAACAACACAGCGTTAAATATTAAAAACTTCCCTAAACAGGGCTGCCTTCAGATGTCTTTTAAAGATAGGATAGCTGCTTATTTCCTTCACATCTGAAGGGAGGGTGTTCCACAGGGTACCGAGAAGGCCCTCCGTCTGGTTCCCTGTAACCTCACTTCTCGCAGGGACGGAACCGCCAGAAGGCCCTCGGTGCTTGATCTCAGTGTCCGGGCTGAACGATGGGGGTGGAGACACTCCTTCCGGTATACTGGGCCAAGGCTGTTTGAATTGTGCTGTTGAATTGTGCTCGGAAACGTAGTGGGAGCCAATGCAGATCTCTCAGAACCGGTGTTATGTGGTCCCGGCGGCCAGTCCCAGTCACCAGTCTAGCTGCCGCATTCTGGATTAATTGCAGTTTCCGGGTCACCTTCAAAGGTAGCCCCACGTAGAGCACATTGCAGTAGTCCAAGCGCGAGATAACTAGAGCATGCACCACTCTGGCAAGACAGTCTGTGGGCAGGTAGGGTCTCAGCCTGCGTACCAGGTGGAGCTGGTAGACAGCCGTCCTCGACACAGAATTAACCTGCGCCTCCATGGACAGCTGTGAGACCATGCTAGCCGGTTGTTGCTTTTTGCCCCAACACATCTGCTTCCTGACAAATACAAAGATGACTGCGGTGGGCCAACAAGGCTCACCTTTTTTGGCAGTGTGAGTGTGGGTGTGTGAGACCATCTGGCCCTTTAAGAGGGCAACAGCTCCCACAGGAGTCCACATGCAGGTACTGCCTTGAGGTCCCACCTGTGAGCAAAGCAGCAAGGTGGGGCATTCTCAACCAAGGAGCCCAGCTGCCCTGCCTCAGGCAGGAGGGAGGGAGGGGACAGAGAAGATATAAAAAGCCTGGAGGCCTTGCAGAGGTGTGGAAGCCCAGTGGAGAGAAAGGTGAGAACAGTGAGGCTCCAACATGGGGAGTTTTGGCCCTCACTCCCTTACCAGAAGCTATCTTTAGGCTGCCGCCCACCCACTTAAGTCCCATTGCATGGGACCAGAGGGGGAATGCAAGCATCCCGGGTTCACAAAAACTTCTCCTCCATGAATTTCTGGACCTTATGTGGTCCTGGAGGCCACTCCCAGTCACCAGTCTAGCTGCTGCATTCTGGATTAGTTGCAGTTTCTGGGTCACCTTCAAAGGTAACCCCACGTAGAGCGCGTTGCGGTAGTCAAAGCGGGAGATAACTAGAGCATGCACCACTCTGGTGGGCAGGTAGGGTCTTAGCCTGTGTACCAGGTGGAGCTGGTAGACAGCTGCCCTGGACACAGAATTAACCTGCGCCTCCATGGTCAGCTGGGAGTCCAAAATGACAACACTGAGCTAAATGCCCCAGCAGTCTGGCTCGGTGCAAGGCAGCTTCCTGCATCCCGAAGACTCTCGCCCTGCAATCCTGTGCATGCCTACTCACAAGTAAGCCCCACCGAACTCAGTGGGACATACTCCCATGTAACTGTGCATAGGATTGCAGGCAGTTTCAGAAATCCTTTGCTTTGAAAAGGGCCATCCTTTGCTGGCAAGCTAGAGGGATAAATTGTCCAAGGTTGAGGCTAGGAATGAATCATGTGTGGCCCTGGTTGGCAAGCTGGTCTCCTGCTTCTATTCCCAGCCTTTCCCGTGACTCACTGCCTGTAAAGCTCACTCTTTGCAAAAGGCCTGGCCTACGCAGGCCCCTTCATGCCCTCAAGCCATCTCCATGGGGACGAGGTTCGCCCCACAAGAGCCCAAGCGAGCTACTTAGCCTCCCCTCCTATTCACCCCATGCGTCATCGCTGCCCAGCTGCAAGCGCCGGGACATATAACACAGTGCGCCGAGCTCTGGGGGAAGACAAATGCCGCCGCCGCAGAAGCGTGAAGAGGAATGAACAAGGGGGGTTGCTTTATAGATTAACGAGGCTCAAATCCAATTCTGCACAAAGTCTCGGTTCTCAACTGGCTCAGCAATAACGAGGCGGGATTTTATTTCAGTATTGAGAAGGAGTGTTAGAGTGCATTCTGCAAAGTTTAATCAATTAATCAGCCAGACTAATTGACCCTTTTGGTCGATTCAAAAGGTGCTCTTGATTATTTGGACAGCAGAGTACTTAAAAAAGAAGAAGTAAAATAACCAATTAACTATAGTATAGGTACCTACAAAAAACATAGGGATGCGGGTGACGCTGTGGGTTAAACCACAGAGCCTAGGACTTGCCGATCAGAAGGTCGGCGGTTCGAGTCCCCGCAACAGGGTGAGCTCCTGTTGCTCGATCCCTGCTCCTGCCAGCCTAGCAGTTCGAAAGCACATCAAAGTGCTAGTAGATAAATAGGTACCGCTCTGGCAGGAAGGTAAACGGCGTTTCCGTGTGCCACTCTGGTTCACCAGAAGCGGCTTAGTCATGCCGGCCACATGACCTGTACGCCGGCTCCCTCGGCCAATAAGGCAAGATGAGCGTCGCAACCCCAGAGTCGGCCACAACTGGACCTAATAGTCAGGGGTCCCTTTACCTTCACAAAAAACATGGCCATGGATCTGTTTTAGGACTAGGAGAGGTCTTCCTCTTCCTCCTCTTCCCCCGAGGGAATCTGTCTTCCATGAACATATACAACTCTTTTGGTCCATCTAGTCCAGGACTCTAGTGCTGTGCTGAACATTCCATTCACCTTCTTTTCAACCATTCTCCACCAGTTGATGAAAAAAGAAAATGCATTCAAAAATTGACAAAGGGAAGAAAAAATGTTGGTGAAATTGCCATGGGTGGGTTGTTCTTTGTGTTTGTGTGCTGACTTTAACTTCAGAGATGGCTGAGAGTTTTTGTGAGGGTTTCCCCCCCTTTGTTTGACAGATCTTCTCCCTGGTTGTCTGCATTCTGCAGCCTTCCCAGGTGCCATGATGTCACGGGCTGCACTTTCTTTCACTCTGCAAATCATCTCCCTGGTGGTCTGCATTCTACAGCCTTCCTGGGTGCCTGTTCTTCCTGTGAAAACCCCATGTTGTCATGGGCCAGGCTTGCCTTCATTCTACAATTCATCTCCACTGATTCGTGTGCTTCAGTTAAAGCCCAGAGGAAGATGCCACGAGGCAATTCCTCCTATGATGTCTATTCAGATCAGGAAGTGTGGGCACCTGGGGAGGCTGCAGAGTGCTGGGGAAATGTTTCGTGGAAAGGAAAAAACACACACACACCACTACACTTGGCCACCTTGTAATGTTAAGGTGAACTCAACCCTGCACACAGCAAATTCGAAAGAAATTCAGAAGCACCCTGAGAATGAGGGAGAAAAGCAGAATGTCGCAGGAGAAGAGAACTTGTGAGAAGCTGGATGGAAGGTTTTGACACCACATTATCTTCTGATGGGGAGATGCTCTTCATGGTCTCCAGCAGAGAGATATCTTTTCTAACTGGACATGCTGAGGATTGACCATGGTGCTGTGTGCATGAAGATGCAACATTACACAATGGTCCTTCCCATTCCAAGAGAGTGCTTGCTGTGATGCATGCATGTGTCACGCAAAGGCCAAAGAATGATATGCCTTTTGTTATTTTTACCCTTCAGAATAGCTGCTTTTATTCCTGTTCAGCTTTGCTTAGTTTGGCGAATCAACTGAAACTCGTATGATAAATTGACTAAGATTTCTGCAACGGTGTGACAGCCCCAGTATGAATTTCAGCCTGCCAGGAGGCAACATTGATGGGCAATGAACCAAGAGCATTGGGTCATGGAAATGATTGTGTGTGTATGTAATTCAAGGAGGATGAAATTTGATCTATTAGCATGATGCTTTAAACACTAACAGACTGTATCACATTTGAACAGCAGCCTGACAAGGCTAGGTAATTACCATAGTCAAAGGGTAAAAGGGAGCCACCATTCTCAAAACGCGATGTGTTTCCACTAGTGGATGTCCCCAAACGTACTGAGTGTAGGAGAATCTGTAGCCAAAATCACAAATGCATGATTGTTAGATAGTCACAGACATGGGGCTCCATGATGTCATATCCTCTAGTCTAAATTTTTGTGGTGGGAAGGAAAACAATAGAAGGTTAATCTCTATTTCCTTCTGTCACTACACACTATTCTCCTACCTGCATCTTTGCTCTCCTCCAGAGAACAACCTCCATTTTGAACTGGACTATGTATAGTGGTTAAGAGCGGTAGACTCGTACTCTGGTGAACCGGGTTCGCGTCTCTGCTCCTCCACATGCAGCTGCTGGGTGACCTTGGGCTAGTCACACTTCTCTGAAGTCTCTCAGCCCCACTCACCTCACAGAGTGTTTGTTGTGGGGGAGGAAGGGAAAGGAGATTGTTAGCCGCTTTGAGACTTCTTCGGGTAGTGATAAAGCGGGATATCAAATCCAAACTCTTCTTCTTCTTCTTATTGCCTGCCTGATTTTCATCACTGTACTTGTTGAATCCTGGCAAGACTTGTGATGTGAGGAATACTCGTATTTTTCATCTTTGCTTATGAATCTGAGAGTGATTTCTTTGTAAAGAGGGAAACATAAAAAGGGAGAAGATATTCTCAGTCTGCCTAAAAGATCATAGGATATAATTGTTCTAGAAGGTTATGCAAACTTTGTCCTAATAGCTTCTAGAGATAAGCTGTGCATGGGTGGCGATTTTTAATTCTGCTGAAATATGTATTTGCATTCTCACACAAGTGAGAAAGAGGAACAATAATTACTTAATAATATATCCTCTCTTACTCATCAAAATCCATCCTGCATTGGGAATACGTACTACATATTCACCAGTATTCGGAGTACTGTGAGACTACAGAATACTGTGAGCTGGTCAGCCAAGTCAAGCACCAAGCATTCTTAAGATTAAGAGTTGCCAACTGATTTAAGCAGGCCTTGTTCCTGCGGTTTTAACAGCAGTTCCATCTGCAGGCATGGCTGGGCGCTCGTACTTAACCCCACGCTGTGAAAAACTTAATTTGCTGGTTTCTGCAGATCCAATTGCTGTCCAAGTCATAAGAGCAGGTCAGGCTACTGCCGTTTTTCCTGATTAGTTGGGAAAAAGAAGACTTTTCTAACCCAGACATAAATAGTCTTTCCTAGACCTGCCTTTTAGCAGGTCTGCCTAAGACAGTGGGCTAGATCCTGATCTCTCCTGGGTAAAATTTGACAGAAGGCAGCACTTGCCAATTGCCTGACTTAGCCATGAACTAAGGGGTGGGGTGGGTAGGTGGCACTGCTTTGCAGTGGTTCCAGTCCAGTTCCAGTCCTTTGCAGTGGTTCCAGAGGGTGATGCTTGGGGAGTGCTCTTTGGCCCCATGGAGCCATCAATGTGGGGTTCCCCAGGGTTCGATTTTATCCCCCATGCTGTTTAACATCTACATGAAACCCCTGAGTGGGGTCATCCAGAGTTTTGGAGTACATTGTCAGCCATATGCCGATGAAACGCAGCTCTACTTCTGCAGGTGTGGCAGTGGAAGTGCTGGGCCAGTGTCATACCCCAGTAATGGACTGGATGAGATCCCAATCCAGATAAGTCTGAGGCACTGTTAGTGGGTGGTTCTCTAGACTGGATGGCTGGCAGGTGGCCTGCTCCTGCACTGTCATATTCACTTATGGATTGTGAATGGTTGCTGCAACTGTTTAAAGGACGTCAGGGTTACTGTGAAATGTCCTTTACAGGTTTATCAAGACAACAGATCCTGTTTGGCTTTGCTTGCTTCAGAGAGTTGCAAGCAAAGAACCAAGTACTTGCAGATAACGTTAAATCGTGCAAGGGAGTGTATCTGGAAAGGACTCATTCAGGTGTCCTACATGCCAGGAAACGAGATTCCTGCAGATCTGTTGTCTAAGGTTGTTAACAGAGAACAACTTCAGGTATATGTACAGTGGTTGCAGTTGGGTTGAAATACTGTGCCACAGGTTACATGGAAAGGGGGAGGATGTTGACATTTCCATTCCTCCTTAAGGAGCAGACGTGTGGAATTATTGCGTGTCACATGTCTGTTTACATTCCAGCACAGCTTGCTGGGAACTTCCGTTGTGTGTAGCTTTTGCTTTTTCCTGTTCTCTCTGAGACGACGAGAGAGAGAGACGACATGTTTCTTTGTCCTGATTTATGATTAATAAATCTGTAGTTGTAGCATGCTTCCACAAGCCTCACGCCTATACTGTGTGTGCAGTTTGCTGATAGTGTGCTCTGGCTTAGAAGTCCAGGTCGCTGATTTATGTCAGAGCAGAGGCCGATGGTCCACGCAGTGGGACGGCTGGAAGGGAACGGCCCAGCTGGGGTTAGCCAGCTGGCCTCCCGGCCCTCTGCATGTCGACAGTGGTTACACACCCTCTGGACGAGTGGGTACACAGCTTGGGGGTATTTCTGGAGCCATTGCTGTCACTTGAGGCTCAGGTGGCCTTGGTGGTGCAGAGTACCTTCCATCAGCTTTGGCTGGTGGCCCAGCTGTGCCCCTACCTGCACAAATATGGGATGGGGAGTGGGGAAAGTACCATTTCCTTGCTGCCTTGCCCAGCCAAAGCATGTGCTAAATTTCTCCTATGCAGTGATCTAAAAGAGGAGCTGCACCTTTCCTACCACACCTGTTCCTTTTGGGTGTGCGAGGTTCTCCACTCAACAGAAAACTGTGGTTCTAGAGGACTGGCTTCAGGTCAGTAGTTATGGTTACAACTCTGAGAGTTTCCAGTGGGAGTTATTTTTTATCCACATCTTCGATGGCTCACGAAGCCTCCATCTCAAGGTCATTCCCCTAATGGGGAGAAGATTCATCCTTCTCCTCTGGTAACCTTCCAATTCAGAGACAACAGCAGGCAAACAACAAACAGTTACTATGGTGACAGCTGAAAAATAATTTCCAGCTGGTGCAAAACTTAAAAGGTGGGGAAAGTTGGCGCCAGAACTTCAAGGGAACTGGAGCTAAAAACTCATCACCTTTGAGGTGAGTAGGGTGGTTTGCCCCAGCCTGCTGTTCTTCAGGTGTTTTGGACCACATCTCCCATCACCTTGACCATACTGGCTAGAACTGATGGAGTTGTTGGTAAAACATCTGGATGGCATTAGGTTGGGGGAGTTTGGTGTACCACGTTTAGTCGTTTAGTCATGTCCGACTCTTCGTGACCCCATGGACCAGAGCACGCCAGGCCCTCCTGTCTTCCACTGCCTCCTGCAGTTTGGTCAAACTCATGCTGGTAGCTTCGAGAACACTGTCTTCTTGTTTTCTGTCTCATCCATCTCGTCCTCTGTCGTCCCCTTCTCCTTGTGCCCTCCATCTTTCCCAACATCAGGGTCTTTTCCAGGGAGTCTTCTCTTCTCATGAGGTGGCCAAAGTATTGGAGCCTCAGCTTCAGGATCTGTCCTTTCAGTGAGCACTCAGGGCTGATTTCCTTCATAATGGATCGGTTTGATCTTCTTGCAGTCCATGGGACTCTCAAGAGTCTCCTCCAGCACCATAATTCAAAAGCATTTGGTGTACCACAGTGTTCCTCAAATTTGGGTCTCCAGCTGTTGTTGGACTACAACTCCCATCACCCTTGACCACAGGTCCTTCTAGCTAGGGATGACGGGAGTTGTAGTCCAACAACAGCTGGATACCCAGGTTTGGGAAACAGTGGTGTGACATGTTCCAAGGCAAAACAGGACCCTTACTAGGCGAGCCGTGCTGGAATTTGTGGAGGGAAGGGTTGTAGCTTAGCAGAAAAGCACCTGCTTTGCATGCAGAAGGTCCCAACCTCAATTCTTGGCTTCTCAAGGTAGGAACAGCCCTGCCTGAAGCCTTTCAGAGGTGCTGCTACTCAGTGTAGATGCTGCTGCACTAAATGGTCCAAAGATCTGACTCATGCTTGAAGGAGCTGGGTAAGTTTAGCCTGGAAAAGAGACCAAGGATTGTGCCTGGGACCTTCTGCATGGAAAACAGATGCTCTAGCACTCAGCTATGGGGGAAAAGGCTGATTTTAGGCTGGTGAGAACTTTGAATCTGTGTCTCCCACGATTTCAAGAGGTTCTTTCCTCCCCTTTAGGGTTTCTTCTGTCCTTTCTTCAATAGGAAGGGGACACGAGAGAGGGGGAAAGCAAGGATGGAATTGTCAGAAAGCCAAAAGGCACGGAACCAGAGCAGCATCGGAAGTGGTAGAGGACCACTGTTCATGCAGAGAGGTGCTTCTTGGGTCTCTCTCCCTCTCTCCCCCCACTTCAGCTATAGCTGGTGCATGAGCGCCGTCTGGTGGTGGGAAGCTTGAATACAAACAAGCTGAGTGCAAAATTGAAAGCTGACATTTACCCGTATTTTTCGCTCTATAACACGCACCCGACCATAACACGCACGTAGTTTTTAGAGGAGGAAAATCCATAGGCATGCCACCCGTAGGCATTCCCTCCATAACACGCACAGACATTTCCCCTTACTTTCTAGGAGGAAAAAAGTGAGTGTTATGGTGCAAAAAATACGGTATATATTAGTTACAGGTAGGTAGCCGTGTTGGTCTGCCGTAGTCGACACAACAACAACAACAAAATCCTTCCAGTAGCACCTTACAGACAAACTAAGTTTGTTATTGGTATGAGCTTTCGTGTGCATCCACACTTCTATCTCTGATGGACAGCTCCAGACAGCCTATTCGTTCATTAATGAGAATTTGTGTTTGGTGGGATCAGGGCAGGTTACACATGATCCCACTTTCAACATTGCAAATGTTTCGGGGCAGATATTTTGCTTTGTTTCCCATCAGTGCATGTCGTGTAACTTACGCCTGAAATCCTGCAACTTTTTCTCCTCACCCCCCACTAATGTTCTGCAGCAATTTGGGGGGGGGCATGTTTTCCTGCTTTTGTTGTGCTATAATGCAAGAGTGTCCCTCAAGATGGCATGAATACAGCAACATTGGGGAAACACTGAAGAAAAATTAATAAAGTGGATTGGTATTTGAATGGACCTACCACTAGTACCTACCACCTACCATGCGGGTGGCTCTGTGGGTTAAACCACAGAGCCTAGGGCTTGCTGATCAGAAGGTCGGTGGTTCGAATCCCCGTGATGGGGTGAGCTCTTGTTGCTCGGTCCCTGCTCCTGCCAACCTAGCAGTTCGAAAGCACGTCAAAGTGCAAGTAGATAAATAGGTACCACTCCGGCGGGAGGGTAAACGGCGTTTCTGTGCGCTGCTCTGGTTCACCAGAAGCGGCTTAGTCATGCTGGCCACATGACCCGGAAGCTGTACGCCATCTCCCTCGGCCAATAAAGCGAGATGAGCACCGCAACCCCAGAGTCGGCCACTTAACGGTCAAGGGTCCCTTTACCTTTACCACTAGTACACTGTAACTGCTAAAATAACATGTTGCAGTATAAATCTGCAAAAAGAAAGAAAAATGTCTTCATTTCTGCACGGGGCTGCTCATCTGCTCATTTTCAGTGGCTTCACTGGGGCAGGCCCCTGAGGCAGCATCAGAAAAATGAAGGGGACAGGAAGTGCCTGGGATCTGCCTTTCTTCAGAAGTTGGGGTAGAAACATATGGATGGGGCCAATGAACGACAATAAGAAGAGCATCTTCTGGATCAGGGCAATGGCCCATCTAGTCCAGCATCCTCTTCTCACAGTGCCTGTGGGATGTGGGTGGCGCTGTGGTCTAAACCACCGAGCCTCTTGGGCTTGCCGATCAGAAGGTCAGCACTTCTAATCCCCGTGATGGAGTGAGCTCCCATTGCTCTGTCCCAGCTCCTGCCAACCTAGCAGTTTGAAAGCAGGCCAGTGCAAGTAGATAAATAGGTACCACTCTGGTGGGAAGGTTAAACGGCGTTTCCGTGCGCTCTGGTTTCCGTCATGGTGTTCCATTGTGCCAGAAGCGGTTTAGTCATGTTGCCGCATGACCTGGAAAAAGCTGTCTGTGGACAAACGCCGGCTCCCTCAGCCTGAAAGTGTGATGAGTGCCTCAACCCTACAGTCGCCTTTGACAGGACTTAACCGTCCAGGGGTCCTTTACCTTTTTTACCTGCAAGCACCAGCACTTTCTTTCCCTAAAGTTCCCAACAACTGATATTCTGAAGCATTGTTGTCTCAAACTGCGCAAAGCCACCATGGCTAGCAGCCTTCGGTAGCCCTCTCCTCCTCCATGAATTTGTCTCATCCTCTTTTAAAGCCATCCATCCAGTGGGAGGGAGTTCCACAGTTTAACGATGCGCTGCGTGAAGGAAGACTTTCCTTTATCTGTCTCGAATCTTCCAATGTTCAAGGAAGATGTGAAGCCGGGTCAATGAGACCATTGTGGTGAGGAGCCACTGAGAGCTGCCTCCTCCTTGAAGTTGTCCAATCCTCTTTTAGAGCCATCCAAACTGGTGACCACCCCTGCCTCCTGGGTAAAGAGAAGTGTCATTGGCTGTGCTGTCTGGGATTGGAGTTGCCGTTCCACAATATATGGATGGACACAGGTCCCTCACTCCTGGTGTAGCACATCACCCCAAAGCTCTGCTTCAGGACGTCTTGCAACATTGCAGGGATGCTCCGGGCTAGTGGTGGCTACTAGTCACAAAGGCTGTGCTCAGCTGGAGGCAGCAATGCTTGTGAACACCAGTTGCTGGAAACCACAGGAGGGGAGAGTTGCTCTTGTGCTTAAATCCTGTGTGCCGGTTTCCCCACCTGGCTGGCCACTGTGAGAACAGGATTCTGGACTAGACGGGCCACAGGCCTGACCTAGCAACCTCTTTTTATGTTCTTAACTCACCTTGCTTTGAGGTCCCATCCCTCAAAGCATCCTGAAGCCAGCCTTTAGTTGTACTGTCATACCTCATGTTACACTTGCTTCAGGTTGAGCATTTTCAGGTTGTGTCCGGCGGCAACCTGGAAGCACTGGAAAGGGTTACTTCCAGGTTGTGCCGCTTGTGCATGTGCAGACGTGCAAAATGATGTCACGCGCATGCGCAGAAGCGGCAAATTGCGACCCGTGCACGCGCAGACACGGGGTGCGTTCTGCTCATGTTGCGAACGGGCCTCCAGAACGGATCCCATTCACAACCAGAGGTACCACTGTATTAGTCTGTCTGCTGGACAGGGCATGGGCCAATGCCTGTCACCTCCTTTCCATGAGCAATAATCTGACCTCCCAGCATACGATACCACATGTCGCTCTCCTTCATTTTAGAAGAAGCCAACTCTCCAGTTTTCCTTCAGGTGGGCATGCTTAAAACCTAGATCTTGCTCAGGTGCACCTTTAACACCCAGGCTGCCTCACCAAAGTCCGCAAAGTGTTTGTATGTCGACGGACGGCTTGGGGAGTTGCATTTTTGTGGTGCATTTCATGGACCAAGAAGGTGTTTTTTATAACTAGCATCCTAACCTCCATGCTTGCAGAGACAAAAGGAAGGCAGCTAATGATAAAGGCAACAGCATTTAGATGCAGCAACACATCCAAAGCTTTTAAGACACATTGCAAATGAATTAGTCAATGTGTGGATAAAGAGTTCACGTTGACTCAAGATTAGGCAAAGGAATCCTTTGTGCCAGTTCCACCCAACACGGGAGTCGTCAAGGTTAATGGAATCCAAGGTGTTAAGAGATTTGTGTGCAAAATACCAGAAATGATTTCAGAAAGGCTTGTTGGCACCGCTCTCACTTTTCTCCTTTGTTCACAGTCTGACAGAAGCAGAGTGCAAACAATCAGAGGTCACAAGCCCTTTAATATAACCATCGCCTTTCCCAAAGTCCTTTCAGTTCCTCAAACCCTTGATCAGGTTCCCGGGGGAGGGGGGGGGAGAGAAAGCCCACAGGCTTGTGACAGCCTTTGGGGAGATGGGTTAAGGATGCATGTTACTTCCTCGTCAAGCCCAACATGTGCGAGTCTGGAAGTTGGGTTGAAGTGGCAGCTCTCTGCGACCAGCTCAGAGCTCATCTCCTAGTTTGTTTGGAACAGCAAGCAAGCTCACTGGGGAGCTTTTATAGGAAGCCAGGGGATACCACCTGACCTGTCTAGCCTATTAGGATCAGGTTTTCTTGGTGGGTGTGGCTGATCTCCTTGCAATACTCTTCTTTGACCAGAGGTGGGGGTGTGCTACAAGATGGAGCCAGCAGCGGTTGGACCAGGGTTCAAATTGGTGCACTCGCACTCAGCCTAACCTACCTCACAGGGGCGGTTGTGGTTGCAAGGATAAGATGGGGTGGCTGAGTACATATACCACCTTGATCTCTTTAGGAGGAAAGGTGGAATAGAAATGTAATAAATAAACAAAATCCCCTGTACAGTGGTACCTCTGGTTGCGAATGGGATCCATTCCGGAGGCCTGTTCGCAACATGAAAAGAACGCAACCGTCAGCGGCGCGTCTGCGCACGTGCAGGTTGCAATTTGCCGCTTCTGCGCATGCGCGTGACGTCATTTTGCACTTCTGCGCATGGGCGAGTGGCGAAACCTGGAAGTAACCCTTTCTGGTACTTCCGGGTCGCCACGGGACGTAACCTGAAAGAACGTAACACGAAGTGGACGTAACATGAGGTATGACTGTAGTCATCAATTCAAGAATGGCCACAATTGAGTCAACACAAGATCAGGCCAAAGGGCACCAGGGATCACAACAAGAGCTGCCTTGTGGTCCTTGGGATGGTGTTACCCAATGCCTCCTTGCTTTCTCTTATTCCTGGAAGTCCCATCCAGGACATCTTCACGGTGCCTCTTCTGCCTCCCTCCCTCTTCAGATCCTCCCTTGAACCCTTTCCCCACGATTCACCTCGTCTCCTTGCACAGCAAGGCCCAGACTGCATCTCTGTACACAT